AAATGGACGACGGGTCTAATACAAAAACCACGAAAAAAATGTCCCAAGTCAACCTATTCGAAATTTAAATTGTTATGTCATCGCAGTATCGCGCTGTCCGTAGAACAAATGAAGACTAAAGCGGAGTGTCGCGCTCTGTATACGATTTTAGCGCCTTACAAGTGCGGACACTTTTTAGCGCGGACCCGACGTCCATATAATTGTAAGTCAATGGTTTTATCCCATCCTTAAATTTTTTAAAGCTAATTAACACGCCGAACATAATCGGGGAGATCAAATCCGCTTTTTCGCTGGCTAGGGCATGTGGAAAGAATGGGAGAGGATCGAGCTGCCAAAGGGTCACCTACGGGTCATCGTCCAGTTAACCGTCTGAGATATCGCTGGAAAGATGGAATTCCCAAAGAACTGAAGGATCTGAACGTACCCGAATGGTCTGAACGGGCACAGGATCCACTTCAAGGCGCTGAGCCAGCGAAGTAAGTACTAATTGAAATTAAATAATTATAACTTTCTTTATAAAAAACCCACTTCGATAAGTTCGCGGAATTACATCTCTTTACCAAGTTTTAGGTGGAATATTTTATTCAAATTTAAATGGGACCAATACTGAAGTACTTTCTTTCCAATAAACAAAAGAAACATCAAAATCGGTTTACAAATGCCGGAGTAATAGCGTAACATACACACAAAAATGTCGAAATCAGAACCTTCTCCTTTTTGAAGTAGGTTAAAATATAACAGAAAAGAACCTTTTTGAAAATTTGCTACATAGTGAAAAGTCGGTATTTCACCATGTAGCAAATTTTCAATATGTTCTGTTTCTGATTTGACTGTATTGGTTTTTAAATAATTGAGCAGCGAGTATGCTAAAGAGTAGTTATACCTGTCACAATGGTATTTACACAGCTGCATATTTATATAGCTACATAGTGGTATTTACATAATCTCGCAAATTTACATATTTGCAAGTTCTTCGTCATCTATTTGTAGATTTTTTATTGAAATACTATGTTCCCTATTTGTCTTTAAACAAACAGAAACCTAAAAATGTTTACGTTACGTTACGTACCTACTGGTACGGAAATTTCAGCACTTCGTTATGCTAATCACAAAAGCTTTCGCAGGGAAATAAAGTGTTTTCACGTTTTTATGTTAGAACCAATAAGAATAACCCAGAAACAAAATTCGTGTAACATGGCGTTTTTTATTAACAACTCGCCACCAAGCCTTTAGAAGAGTGATATTTAAAAAAAATACTGAATGAGTTACGCGCTACATATAACCGAAGCGCAATCTGAGCAACCTTCTTCACACGAACCTCATCATAATTTCTGTCATTTCTTTACCTCATCTTGTATAAACAGAGTCAACTGCACTTTCTCTATGCCAATTGTTATTGTAATTGTTTCACTGATCAGACTTTGAATATGGTATTGAGATGTTCCTTGTGGTAGTCCAATTCTTCAGCCAGCGCCAGCGCTAACGTGTTAGGTGTAATTTCAGTGCCTAGGTATTCTCGAAGGAGTTTCTGTGGACAAAAAGTAAAAATTAAGATCAATCACCAACAAAAATTCAAAACATATAACTCCCTTCTTGTTGCATTAGGGTTTAAAAAGTAGATTGAAATTTCACTCTGATTTATCATGATCATCATCAACCCATTTATATGTCCCAGTGCTGGGCACGGGTCTCCTTTCAGACGAGGGTTTAGGCCATAGTCCGCCACGCTGGTCCAATGCGGGTTGGGGACTTCATACGTTTTTCCGAGGGTTGTGAACCTTCTTCAATGTGCAGGTTTCATCACGATGGTTCCCTTCACCAAAAAGCTCATGATACATTTCAAATCAAATTTCGCACACAAATTCCGAAAAAACTCAAGAGGTGCGACCCCGGATTCGAAACCACGACCCTCTGCTTGATATTATTCTTGTTACAATTTTTACTTTTTTTTTAAATTTATTTACTTGATATTCACAACAAATTCTATCAGATAAATTGTTGATTGTTGCACTCCAAAACAGCACAATAAGGCATTTTTCTAGGATTTTAGAGAATTTGCACGAAAGCAAGATACAACCATACCATACATAGCGAAAATGGCGTACTGAGCTGACAAGTCTTTCGAGGCCTATAGTTGGCACGCGTCAGACGCTAACTAACCTCTTCTAATATATTTATTGTTCTGTGGCCTCACCTGTGGCGGCACCGCCCCTCCGTGCCTCAAAACGCCTTGCCTCAAAGCCTCTCCCGCGCTGCGGTTGAGCGGGTCAGCCTCGAAGAACTTCTTCCAAATGCTCCACGCGACGGCTCGAGAGATTAGGTACGAGTAATACTTGGCACCGTAGCCGATTAGGTGGCTGAAGCGGTGTTGCCATGCCTGTCAAGGTACGGGATAAATCACATTTCAAACGAACATTGTAACTATCGCTCGTCACTAATATTTTTTTATTATCGGAACGAACAAGTCGTGTGACTGGTGGTAAGCGAAACGCCTGTCCATGACAGTTACAGTGCCACTCAGAGCGTTAAGTCGCTAAGATCTTAGGGGCACTGCCATTGCGCCCGTCACCCTGAGACATAAGTTGACAAGTCCCATATGCCTGTAATTTCACCAGCTTCCTTCCAAATCGGAACGCAGTAATGCTAACATTACTGCTTGGCGACAGAAATAGGTAAGGTGGCAGTGCTAAGGAGCTCCACTGCTACTAAAAACTATTTACCGAATTCTTAGGTTTTTACGGTGGTACTGCTACTAAAATGTAGCTACTACTACTAATAAGTGGTTAAAACCTATGGTTTAGTGATTTTTTTAATGACCTTCAAACGAAATATCAACTGTGAACTGGCAACCGGTACTATCTCAATTTTGACAACTTTAGGGGATGAAGAAAAAATCATTTATATAGCATCTGGTTTATTAAATAAAAATACGTAGTGTACATAAATCCATGTGTAATAAAAATATTTAAAAACTACGTATTTTAATTTAATAAACCAGATGCTATATAAATGACACAAACAAATTTTTTCTTCACCTGTAAAGTTGTCAAAATTTAGATAGTACCGATTGCCAGTGCACAGTCATATCAAATATAATAAATAAAGACGAGCTAAAAAACTACAGTCGTCTGCGTTGGCTTTAAAATCACGCAGTCCCTTAGAAACCAAATGCATACCGTGTTGTCAACGTAGGGAAGTCCATAGTACTGCTTCTGTACTTCTTTTAATACTTCTGTGGTGCGACCGCCGAACGACGCGTTAGGCCCGTGGTAGTTCTGGTCTAGAGCTGAATAGAAGACCTAACGGAACATTTAAATGGTCATAAGAGAATTTGATAAGAGAATGTAAACTTAACACACTATAATAATTTCTTAATACCGGCAGTGACTTGGGGTTCGCAAAAGCCGGTTGGAATCTAAAAACCGAATCTTGAATCTGACAATGAAAACGCAGCTTTTAGAGTTTAGGCACTTTATTATTGAATGTGAACAATACTAGAAACGCTTTAAGTTGAATGCGAAAAAATATATAAATAAATAATAAATAAATAACGCACACACTCAACACAAAAAATATAATTGAAAAAAAAGTATATATAATAGAAAAAAAGTTGAATTTCTATATTTAAAAATCGAAAAATCATTTTTCCGAGTGATCGAAATACGTTAAAACGTCTGTTTTGTGTATCACTCACCTTAAGGTTTAAAAATTCAAAATCCTGGTTTTTCTTGTTTTGATTTTTAAATTAATAATAATAATAACGCACACACTCAACATAGCCCCGTACTAGGGAAACCCTGTGTCGCGGGTGCCACGGACACACATTTAGACAACCACAAATTACACCCATACACCCATAAACTCACGAGAGAAATAAATGTAGGCCATACAAATGTTTCTCCCAGCCCGGGAATCCGTAACCGTTCGGCCACGGTGGCAGTTAACGGAGGCACATGGTTAACTCGTTAAATTAACGTTCAATAGTTTCTTGTAAATACCTGTAACTGCATCTCGCTAGCACCGAACATGTATTTGGAAGCGCAAAGCCTGTGAAGCATATCTTCAGGCATCGGCTCCTGAGTTTGGAAGTGCTTCGCGAATCGACGTACCACCTGGTAAGAAAAAAATATTGTTTGGTCCAGTGGAATAAAGATATCTTGTTATAGACCGCTAATAGAACAAGATTCGTGTCGTGCACATTATGGTAAGCGACATGTCCATCCATAGCAGTTGTAATGCATTTAGAGCTTCAAATCGCAAAGATAAGAGAGACACTGACACTACGCCTGTCACCATGAGACGACACCTCCTACGTAAAGTATCGTATGTCGAAATTGCCAAGTTTACAGGGAAGCATTTTAAAGTTCTGAATTCACTGAAATGAGCATAACACGACAAAGCTAATCTAATAGATCATCTAACCGATATGTAGGATTTTGCAATACTCTGTGTGAGTAACCGTTTGCCGAATAAAACTGAAAAATGCTAAAGTCACCTGTTATGCTCCTTTCACTGCATTCAAAACTTTAAAACACTTCCCTGTAAACTTGGCAATTTCGACATACGATACTTTACGTAGGAGGGGTCGAGACATAAGTTGAAAGTCTCATGTGCCTGTAATTACCATTCAATTAATTACCCTTAACATGCCCTTACCCTTCAAAATTGGAAGACGACACATTACTGCTTGGAGATAGAAATAGTTAAGGTGGAAGTACTTCTCTGGCCGATCTCTTTCACGCCGAGCTCTACTGTTACTAAAATATAGATTTCTCCGAGAAGATAGACTTGAATACTGCTGATAACCTTACACGGACTGTAGTTTTTAATAATGCATAAACTATTTTGCACTTGTTTAATCGTTTTATTGTATTTATTTTTTATGATTAATGTTTTATTAAAAAACGATACAAGAGAGAAATAGAGTTGCCATATTTAATATAATTATTTTTTGTGTTGTGAACGAAGACTACCGATGTACAGTTGTAAAATAATACACAGAGAGAAGCTGCTCCGCGTTTAAAGGGTTCCACACACGGAGAGCAACGTTATGCGATTTGATTGTAAAATTGACTGCAATGTCAACCGCACGCAGTGAAATTACTATAGAGTTATCTCTGTGTCGCTGTTTACGACAACCACGGAAAAATAAGCGATATTATTCGTATTCAATAAAAATACGACTATGGTCTAGCTTTCAAGCAAACCGGCAACGACACATTGTTCGCCGGTTCTTGGACTTGAGACCTTGACCCCGGCCGACTATGCCAGTACCGGCTCTCGAATTTTTTATAGTTGTATATTTCAATCCGCCATTTGTACTGAAGGTATAAGGTCAAAAGGGTAGCAGAGGGCTGTAATATATTCTTAGAGGATAGCCGCCCCCTGCCGAGCACCTCCCGGCTGTGAGGAATATATAAAAGCTGCGCCACGTGGCTAAAAGCTCATTTAATCGGTAGCAACAGACGTCTCTCATCCCTATACAAATAGCTTGTATTGAATGTGCTTATTTTCTTACCTAGTTATTTTTTATTTGTGCAACGGTGTATTTTTAAATTATTTTTTTTATTTTTATTTCTTCATAACACTGTTAACACAGGTCTAGAACCTACAATAGTTTTATGATGGTTTAATTATTGTTTGCTTGTAGTACAACCAATTTGTATTTTTGTTTTGTTTTTAAGAAAACAAGTGCTGCTGTACTTAATATGAATAAAAGTTTTATTATTTTTATTATTATTATTTTTTTATTTCATTTAGTGACATTTAACGGTTTCTTTTTAATAATAAAATATCTGTTTAGGTTACGTAGTAGTTTCTTTTTAAAAAATTAACTGTGTATTTTGATTTATAAGAATATATTATTGTAAAACCAGTTTAAATATAGATGTGCAATATGGAAATAAATAAATGAAATTTGTCTCCATATACCTGTGGACTACTAGCAAAGTACTCCATGAGCACAGAAGGCACTTCAGCCAAATCGGTAGGAGCACGAGTCCCTGACACGTGTTGGTGTCTTGCCCGGCCCACCATAGAATGCAGCGCGTGGCCCACCTCGTGGAACAAGTTGTCTACGGCCCCGGCCGAGAGAAGCGCCGGCCCCGACCTGTGGCCCCCGCTCAGGGACAACATCACTACCACTATTGGGTTCTGCGGACAAGATAATAAAACCATTATAATGGTACCATTTAATAGGCATTGTGCCTATAATCTCTTTAACCGACTTCAAAAAAGGAGGTTCACAATTCGACTGTTTTTTTATGTATGTTACAGGATTACTCCGGCATTTGTGAACCGATTTCGATGATTCCTTTTTTTTTCGTAGGAAAGAGGGTACCTCAGTATTGGTCACATTTAAATTCAAAGAAAATGTTCCACCTCTAAGGGCGGCAAACTAGGGGATGAATTTCGCGCACTTTCAGGTAACCGATTCCAATAAAACCTGGCAAATAGATATCATTCCGCGAACTTTTAAGGTCGGTTTTGTTTTAAATAAAAAAGTTATCATTGTTATCATAATTGAGTGACGAAATACTTTCATAGATTTCTCATAAATGACGCTACGGCTAAAAAGTAATTGAAAAAGAAATACAAAGATTCGACAACAAGCACATAGACAAATTTTTCTAAATCAACTTCATTTGGTTTTCCAAATACATTAGTCCCCAGCCAAATAAAACCTTCAACATTTAAATGCATAGCTGTAGTTCAAATAGAAACAGTCCGTGTACATGTCCACAGATTGAAAAAGTATCGTCCACAAAGTACCTCGGAATAATCATAGACCAAAGATAATCATGGTTTCGTCAAATTGATGCAGTTTCAAATAGAATCAGAAAACTCACGTAGATTTTCAAAACTCTAAGACATATACTTTCATCGCATCTTCTTCAAAAAGTGAGCATTGTATTGGCTCAGTCTGTAATAACTTATTGCATCCCCCTATGGGGTGGCGCCGTAAAGACCCATTTTATTGAGGTGGAAAGAGCTTAACGTTCTCTGCTGAAGGTAATGCTTTTTAAAAAGTACAGTTTCCCTACTGTCCGTTATTAGTGATGTACTCTCCGTAAGAAAACTTTACATTCTTCACGCAGTTTTAAGGTTCCACAAACAGTTACCATTCATTGCAAATTCTCGAAACAATCGCAGAAATTTTACAGTGTCTCAGCGCACAAATAGTACCTTCGCTAGCAGGCAGTTCGAAAAACAGGCCACTCATATATTTAATCGTCTCAACAAAAAAATAAATATATATCCTCAATCCTCATATAATTGCAAACATAATCTTATTGATTATCTTAAAACGATCAGTTATGAAGATAAAGAAGCGCTGTTAAACTATATTACGTAAGGAACACTCAATAAAAAAACAAACAAACGCACGCACGCACGCACGCACGCACACACACACACACACACACACACACACACACACACACACAAACATACACTTTATATAAATTCTTTCAAATATTTTAAGTCTCTTGTAATCTTATAATTAGTATTAGAGTGTAAAAATAATGTAACTGAATTTCTAGTTATAGAAGAGCGGAGTCCTCTGACACAAGTATATTTTACTTACTAGAGGGCTCGAACCTTGACATTGTACTATGTATGTTGAAAATGAATAAAGTTTTTATTATTATTTATTAATTATAACAAACTAGTGGAGTAATTTCACATAAAAATAATTGAATATCAATTCAATAAAAATATAATTAAAGGTATCATTGTTAATTATCAATATACTATTACTATGTAATGGTATTGGTAAGTGTACCGTCTAAAGATCGACTCAAATCTGTGCAGCGAAGATGTGTTGCTGCGCTGTTTTAAAACGAGCAATATAGTACAAACTGTAATTTCTCCAAGATAAGATATAGGTAAGTTCTTTAAACAAAAATTAAAAACACGATGCAGCAAGCGAGCCGAATGCGCTTAACAAAATACAATATACCATAAAACATACCAAATAAAGTATAAATTCCTTTGAATGCAAATGAAATTAAAGAATGAAATGAAAGGAAACAATTTCATTTCAGACAGTAGGTAGAGTTACAAGTCCATATGGTGTTAGTAGGTAATTAACAACTATGTTAGTAGAAAGCAAAGTGTTCATTTTCATGAACAAGTATGGACAGCCAATACTTAAAAATTGGGCTGACCATTCTCTCTGCTACGACCTTAAGAAGACTGTTCGTGCAGCCAACAGTCTTGTTAACTGCCTCCGTGGCCGAACGGTTACCATGACGGACTGACACGCAGAGGCCCCAGGTTCGATTCCCGGGCCGGGAGAAATATTTGTATGACCTACATTTATTTCTCTCGTGAGTTTGGGTGTAATTTGTGGTTGTCTATGTATGTGTCCATGGCACCCGCGACACAGGGTTTCCCTAGTGCGGGGCTATGTTGAGTGTGTGCGTTATTTAAAAAAATAAATAAAAAAAATAGTGAAAGTCCTGACTGGGTCTAACCTGGTAAGTGCCATCAGGCAATAGCTTGCCTCCTTGTATTGTGAAGTGGCAGTCTTGGTGGGGCTTGCCGGGTCGCTCGTAAAGATCGCAGTATATGTGCCCCAGGAGGCCCTCGCTCTCGTGGACCACAGCGAGCTTGTACACGTCCGGAGACCATGATTCGCCTGAAAATGTTTTTCTTTTTATAATACTAACAGACGGGACGAACAAATCGTGCGCCTGATGATAAGCGATACGTCTGTTCATAACAGTTGCAGTGCCACTAAGAGCTTTAAATCACAAACTAAATGGTACCACGATTTCGTTTAACTAAGGTGAACGATTCTTTTATGGGGAACTGTATAAGTTTTTACAATAACATTCCGGAGAATATATTAAGATTATCAATTCCTAAGTTTAAAAGTTACATTAGTAATTTAATTGAAAAGTCATATTACAAAATTGAAGAGTATGTTTTAGATAAAGAAGCATAGAAAGACAACTAAGGTCTGGATTCCACACAATTATGATTCAAAGTGTATTCCATAGCATTTAAGTTTTTTTGAAAAGCGAATCCCTAGAGTTTCTTGCTCGTCCTTCTCAGGGAGGTCAGCGTAATGAACGAGCAGTAGCTTAAAACATGACGTTTTCAAGTGTAAAAAATTAATCTATGGAATAAATCATTATTTGACTTTGACTTTGATAAAAATCTGAGAGGCACAACCACTGCACCCGACACCCAGAGACGTAAGTTGCTAAGTCCCATATGCCTGTAATTTCACCAGCACCCTTAACCCTTCGAAACCGGCACGCAGTAATGCTCACACAACTGCATGACGGCAGAAATAGTTAAGGTGGCAGTACCTCTCTGGACGAACGCTTTCACAAGGAGCTCTACTGGTACTAAGACTTCTATATTAGGAATCAGTTAAGATACAGTACACTGTTACAATAAATCAGTGACCGACAATCTAACCAGATCCAAATGACTTGGCGGCCTAAAGCCACATCATTTATTTTTCATCCAAACCCAAAAATAAACCTTATTTTGACCTATTATTAGTTAAATAAAATTCGTTCGGTAATTGTCAAAAACAGTAACATAAAACGCTTTAGAGCCTGTCGTACCGATCGAGCTGGGTCCTTTAAGTTCAGTTACAAAAAAATGTGTTTTTATTCATCGCCATTCACTGGAAATGGCGAAAAAAGCTCTGAGTACTAAGTACTGAAGAAAGGCAAACAGGTTTTTTGCCTCTAAATTATTCATTTAGCCGAGCGAGTCGAAAAGAACATTAGCAAACAAAATTTAATAGAAACAATGGAGTGTACGAAAGGAGCCTTCTCGTATAACGTACCATTGTCATCCCGTATGTTTGGAGCTTTCTGGGCAACAATCGACGAGTACTTTACGCCGGTTGGCAAATCCTATCACCATTTTTAGTGTATGCCATCGATACGATAAGAAGAATATAACTAATAGGCCCCAATCATCTATTGCGTCCAGCGGTACCGACATGTTGCTATACGTGACACAACTTCATTACTCCACAAAGTCTGCGGATATTGATTGATAGAGGACATACGGGTGACAGCCAATGCTGCCCTGAGGGTCGAGCAGGCGGAGTCCCGCCACAATGTGAATTTTAATTGGTTTGTGGTGAGAGTGCCAATTCAACATCTGTCAACCTTCAAGAAGGAGGACCTGTGGCCGACGGGTGTCATGTTCCGGCGTTTCCGAGGACGGCTATCGGACACCCACGTTGCTTCACGCGTCGCGACCCATAGGTGTAAATAAATAAATAGTTTTTATTATATTATTATGTATGTTAGTCTATAAGATATGTGTTTATGGGTCTTTTGTAACCAGAAAATAAATAAATAATTAAAAATAATAATAATAAATAAATGTTATTTTGTTTTACTATTACGTGAATTATATTAAATGTTTTATTAACACTTGTTATTTTTGTGCAATTTATCGACACTAATACTGATTAAGTCACAGCACTAGCGCATTTATCAGCTCTGCATTCAACTCGCACGCGTACGCTATTGTACAGGTGTTAATGAACCTTACCTGGCAACATTTCTTCAGACACCAAACTAATGCCGTACAACTCTTGACAGAGCATGTTCAACCCTTCCATGCAGCCTCCGAGCGAAAAATAGGGACTAAAGTCGCTGTTTGCAACATTCAAAAGTTGCGTTTTAGCCTTATGCGTGAAGAAAGGCGTATCCCAGCACTGTAAGCTATCCTGAAATTTATTAATTTTTAAATTTCGGGACCCCGTAATCTAGATATAACGATGTCGATAGGAAATATTATGTATATATACCTCATGTGTTATAAGTTTTGAGACAAACTTTGACTTTAAAAAATAAAACAAAGTAATACTGGCAGCTGTAAAATTTATATTTTCGATTTATATTAAGGAATGTTTTTGTCGTTAGATCAGTCGATAATATTTTGGTCTCATTCGTACCTGGTATGGTGTTTCTCGTCTTTTCATTTGAAGCATGGCTTCGAAGTCCATCTTGGCGCGGTCGTAAAGATTATCTGAGAGTATATCTATGAATTTGCGAACATTGGCCGCTGTCTCCATTGTGCTTGCTTTTATTGCTCTGTAACCAAAATAGAAATAACTAACATTAGCAGAACTTTTAAATAAAAATACTGATTCTGGTTTGACAGTATTGGTTTCTGTTTAATTGAGCAGCAACTTTGTAGTAACAAGTAGCTATAGCCCTGAAACTTGCTTTTGTGGCTGTCAATGTAGTTGCCTATTTACAAAGCTACACAGTGGTCGTCGGGTCTATATGTATACTATCCGGCTCGAAGACAAGCTTGTTAGGTCTCTTGTGTTTTTCTTCAATAAAACCCTCGTAATCTTCCGATTTATTCAAATTTATGATATAAGTAGACTGTATTAGCGATGGGCGAGTCGAGATATATAACTCGATTAACTCGAGTTACTCGCTCAACGAGTCAACTCGAGCTACTTTTTCATGAACTCGAGCTAACACCGTTCGGTACCCGACCCGCCGCCAGCTGAGTACTTCATATTTATACGGCAGCGCACCGGCTACTCCTTCCCACTCGGCGGTCGGTTCGGTGACCTTTGAAACACGCACGAGTCGCGAGCAATGGACGAGTCGAGTTATTTAACTCGGTTAACTCGAGTTACTCCCACGAGTCAACTCGAAGTACTTTTTGTGAACTCGCTAGCTCGGTTCGGTTTCCAAATACAGCGCGTCGGCTATTCGATCTCACTCGGTCGGTTCGGCGACCTTCGGAGCAGTTCGTGCCCGTCTCGGTAAATTGTCGGTTCGGGTTCTACTCGCGACTCGCGGTTGCTATATCAGACACCCAGTCGAGTTAACTCGAGTTGCAACTCGAGCTATTTAATATTCATTCCTACTTCGCCTTGTAAGTCAGATGGACATAGATTACGACAGTTAACGATAGTGTTAAGTTTCATAGAAGTGTATACAGTCTAGCGATAGGACGAGTTATAACATTTTTTTCAACTCGAGTCACTCGAGTTGAAAAATCTGACTGACTTCCAAGGCGAAGTAAGAATGAATAATAAATTCTTATACCCGTGCGGTGTCTCCCACACCGTACTGGCCCTATCAATGCGTCGCGGACGCCTCAATCAGAGCCCTTGCATTATTCAGTCGCATTCGCTCCGACAGGCCAGGCGCGTCTCGGCCGTCCGTATCAGTGGTATTTACATAATCAGGCAAATCTACATTTCAAGAATCTGTCATCAATTTTTAAAAATTTTGGTTGAAATATCGACTGTGAACAGGCAATCGGTACTATTCCGATTTTGACAACTTTCATGTGAAGAAAAAAAATCATTGCGTCATTTATATAGCATCTGGTATTAAATAAAAATACGTAGTTTTTAAATATTTTTATTACACATGTATATATGTACACTACGTATTTTCATTTAAAAAACCAGATGCCATATAAATGATTTTTCTTCATCCTGTAAAGTTGTTAAAATTGAGATAGTACCGGTTGCCAGTTCACATTCGACATACTATTTTTTTGAAATATAATGTTCTCATTTTGTCCATAAATAAAAAGAAACCCGAAAATGTGTAAAAAAAACCGCTGTTCTGACCGCAAAAGCAAGGAAACTTTGCAGTGAAATGAAGTTTTATTATATTTTTATATTAGAACCAATAAGAAAATGATATTGATAACACAGAAACAAAAATCGTGTTACATGGTATAAAGGATCTACCAAAGCGGAGAAGGGAGATATGTTTTTGCAGCGGTGATAACCCAATGGGAGGATAATTGCTTCTCATGACAGATTGAATTATGGAAATGATGTTTAGTAAACTGTTTCAAAATTGCATAATAGTTTTTATTCATCGAGTATATAATCAGAAATAAAGACGAAATAAGGGTAACTCATCAGACAAAAGGGCCCTATATCACTTTTAAATATCAACTCTCGTTTGCGCTGAAATTTTGAAATTTGAAATAGTACAGCGCCAACAACTGACCGGGTGTACGTCTCCATATATCCCAAAAATATTCTGTATTTATTGTAATAAAAATAATATCTCTAACAATGAGGGGAGAGGCTGTTCCATTCGGTGATGTGGGGGAAAAAAACAAAACATCTAATCACAAAACAAACGGAACCACATTTCATCGGTAATTAAATATGTAATCTTTAAATTTTCGTCCATTATAGCAAAGCTCAAGTTAAACTGGTCGATTTGAAGTGAAACAATTGACAACACCTGTCAATTGTTTTTCGAATTCGGGCTGGCCAATCGGAGCGCAGTTACCATCGTAATGATTTGGCAGAATAGTTTTTAAACAAATTAAATGACATTTCGTCTCTACATCTGGTTAGATCTAGATGTTTTTATTCAATCATACACTGTTTAAGCATTAGGAAATTTAATACTGAAAATGTAAGGTGGCCCGAATTATGTGTCCAGGACTGTAGATTATTTACCTATCCGCATAGCACTGAAATCCACAGATACTGGCCATCTCATGTCTGGCATCTAATATGGTGGTGAGCAATTGGTCCTGATGCTTGTCGGGGGCGAGATAAAGTTTATATGCGGCCTCCCTAGCGGCTGCCTCGGCGCACTCTGCGTAGACGCCGCTCACTATTATGCTATCACCTTCGCTAGTAAAGCTGGAACGAAAATATCATATTTAGATTAGAAATGCAATAAAAAAATATACATTAATAAAATAAACAAATACTGGTGCTATCGACACGCACAGTAGCATTAGAGCACCTTGTTAAAGAGTTCGTCCAGGGAAGTACAGCCACCATACCTATTTCTGCCGCCAAGCAGTAATCTGATCATTAGTGCGTTGCGGTTTTCAAAGGTAAGGGTGCTGGTGAAATTACAGGTAGGTGGGACTTGTCAAGTTATATATCAGGGTGACGGGCGCAGTGGTAGTGCCCCTCAGATCTTTGCAATTTAAACCTCTGAGTGACACTGTGACTGCTATGGACAGGCGTGTAGCTTACCATCAGGCGCACGACTCGTCCGTCCCGTCACTTGATGTTATAAAAAGATCGCATAGACTAACACAAATTACATCTAAACTCGCGAGAGAAATAATTGTAAGCCGTACAATTTTTTTTAATAATGCCTTTTGCAACTTGCGGTCGGTCTATGGACCATGAGCAGTTGATTTGGCGCGTTAGGCTCGCCCGCCCTGTGTTAGGCTGCCTTCTTCTTTCCAATGTCTCCTTCGTTTAGTCCCACATGTGGCGCCTCTTCAATAGAGGTTCGTTCAGAGATTGTGCAAGCTTATTTTCAAGTCATGAGATTCTGTCCTTAGTCATGCTATCTATATATGCTCTTATCTACTGTTTGACAGTAGGGATTTTCAGATAATCATGAACATCATCCATTTTTGTGAACCATGGAGCATTTACCAGAGTTTTGAGCACACTATTTTGGTATCTCCAAGTTTGACTTTGACATAGTTTTCCCGACCTGAGAATCGAACCCGGGACCCGGACCGGAACCCGTTCGGGCACGGAGGCAGTTTACACAAACATGCCAAATGGGTATATGTCGTTGATATTTTGCCAAAGCCCGTAATAATTGTCATATAGGTAGTATATCTGAATTGACAATGACTGCCTTAAAGCAAAAATTAAAACTTTTTTAGAAAATCGCTCTAATTACAGAATCAACAAAGTCATGCTCATTCAAATTCTGCTCTCCGTGTCATAACTAACGCATTTACATTGCGGTAACTTTCGGGATATTGGCACTTAAATTTTTATTGCCACCTAAAAAAAATGTCAGTTGGGCTGATTTTGCTTAAGAATAAAACTGAAACTTAATAGGTTATAATTATTATAACAAAAATCGAAACACTAAGAAAAATTCATTCTATCCGGCAAGATTAGAACCAGTATCCTCAAGCAATTCGTGGCAGATGCTCTGCCAATTAAACCACGGAACAAACCAGAGCAGACCTTTACGAATTTTTCTATGTTTTTCTTGCAGATCTTTGTTTATGGTTTTTAACGTAGCGCCACCTGTGAGAAATTTATATCTTCACTTAGAGAGGTACCTTTACAGCTACCACCGCTGATTAGAAATGTCGCTTGAATAATTACAATTTTTAAGTTTATTGAATGTCACGATGTTTTACTACCACGATATTCATCAATAATTATAACAAACTAGTGGAGATCGTGGAATTCAATAAACTTAAAAATTAGTAAAAAAGTATTTAAAAAAAACTGATTAGAGGGGGCTGTAGATGTCGTTTCGCTGATATTCTCAGATATGTTTACAACTAAATTTCGCTAAAAATGTCGTTAGTTGGTTATGATAAGGAAGGCAGAATTATAAGGACAGACCCGCGCGCGCAGCTATTCTCCAAGCTATGGTGCTCCACGCATAACAGAACTCCGCTGACGTTACAGTTCGCGCATCAGAGACCCATAATTACACGTATTCTGCGCTACTACACCACGAGCCTTATCAATAAAACTTAGTGTATATTATATTTACCTTATTTAATTGTGATTCTTAATTTTTGTAATAAAATATAAAACAATGTTCATTTTCTTAAAAACCTTTCTTGTTATTGTATTTAATTTCTTGCAATTGACGTAAATATAGGCAACATTCTGAGTTGTCTCGGTGAAAAAATAAATAAATTTGATATCGTCGCCTTACTTTCTCATACTCGTATCTTAAAGCCCAAAGTTACTGAAATGCAAAAAATGGAATGTATATACAACTTTTGCAGGCTGATTTCATATCACATTTCCTTCATATTCCCACACTGGCTTTTACCTATTTTTAAAGTAATGCGTCCAAATTAACACCCTTCACAAGAAATTTAACATAAGTAGAAAGTTTTACATCTCCTGAATAATGACTCTTTATAAGATACGAGTTTGAGAGTTGATTCCTGGAGGAGCTTAGGTGGCACGAGTAGGACCCTGCACCCACCACACGCAAAATAGGCGCCTCGACGTCGAGTTGCGGAAACTAACCCCTTGCACTAAGTACCAAGTAAGATACGAGTTTGAGAAAATAAGGCATCAATTTGGTACTTACAATTGTCTAATATTTTGGGGCACAACTCCCCTGGGAACTTTCCGAGGCTTGGCAGCACCAGCCATAAATCTCTGTCCAGTTTGTAATATCAGATCATTCAATGCCACCACTCGTTTTCTGGGGCCATCTGCGAGTTGTATACCGCTCTGTTCGAAATCGAAGAGGAATAATTCTGCTAAATGACGATCACCAGATGTGCCTGTCTTCACCGAGTTGCGTAACGCTTCGTAGAGACCTTTGTGTGTGTTCAATCTGGAAAAATGCATTTTGTTTCTATGTCCATAAAGCTTGGGCTATTGAGTAGGGATTATGCTGCAGAAAAGCAAGGTTTTTACCAGTCAGCAAATGCTTATTTTTCTGCCTTAACATCAGCAGATGCTGATTTGATGCTAATTAATAATTGAAACCTCGGGCTACCTCTGGTCTTATTGTTATCCCTAATAAAGGGCTCATATGTGTAGCATTATTTTTATTTTAAGACACGTACCATATGAATGCAATAAATATATTGAGTATTTCATCTATTTTAAAAGACTCAATTAAAAAAAGGTACAAATCCTTATTGATTCTAGACGAAAATTTAAAATTTATTATTTGCATATAACATCAATCAGTCCGCTTAGCTTAAATCATGCTGGAATTTTCTTAAAGATAAGAACTTTGTAAAGGTTGGCTTACAGTCTCTTTCTAGATGGTTGGTAAATTAATGTCACGAAATATTCGTACTGAATTAACTAGGGGAAACGATTCTGTTATGGGGAACTGTATACGATTTTACAATAAGATTCCGGACCATACATTAAGATTATAATTTCCTAAGTTTAAAATTTATATTAAAGTATTTTAATTGGAGTCATATTACAAAATTGAAGACTACGAGTTAGATAAAGATGTATGGAAAAACAACACGAGTGTATATTCCACATAAAATATGATCGAAAATGTATTCCATAGCAATCCCTAGAGTTTCTTGCTCGTTTGAAATATAGCATAAAAAAATATGTTTTCAAAAGTAAAAATTTTACCTATGGAGTAAATTATTATTTGACTTTGAATATCATCATTGATGAATGCGGGATGTGGATATTTTAATTCTAATTATTTCATAATAATTTAATTCTATTTTTACTTACTTTTCAACAACACCACTAACACTGATACACGCATCTTCCGCCGCGGCGGCGAAGTGGGGCTGCGGGTGCGCCAGTCGCACGAACTCTGCCAAATCTGCCACCTTGCACAGTGTGTCTGACAATTCGTCAAATATCTCGACCATGGGGCGGCTAGGGTTAGATGTGGCTTCTTCTATGAGATTGTCTGTGGCTGTTACTGCTTGCTCCTTGAGCGCGTGGAAGCCCTCGAAGCTTGTCAGTTCCGGTTTGTTAAAGAGACCCTATTAACAATTTACGATTTCTATATTTTGTTTTTGTTCAGACAAGTGAACACATTATATTTTCCTTTATCTTTATGTGATTATTTACTTAGTCTAGAAGTAGGTATCCATGTAGATTAGGCAAAGTAGGAAATATTATTAGGGTTGTTCCAATATTCACAAACTGATCAGGTATTTTCTAACAAAAATTATCTAAGAATTAATTTCTTCAGCAACCAATCAAATAAGTTCTTACAGTTCTCTCTCTCAAATTCTCAAACATAGGCCGTGAGTTGGGGCGTGTATTGAAGGCAGTGGCGAGAGGTGACCACGTGCTGACGCCGCGATCGCGCCGCCGCCGCGTCTTCAGCAGCCATGCCGGACGTAGCAGCTTCATTGCTCACATTCAATCTGAAAAATCAAAGAGACAAATCTTAAGGTATGCAGCCTAAACATGCTCTACTTTAAAAGCAGCCAAATTCGTACCCAGAGTACAAAAATTAATAAAATAATTTTTCTTTGTCTGAAAATGACGTCACATCTGTCCATGGATACTATTTGACAAAATTCGACACTGGAACAAAACACTATCACTACTAATAGTGTTTTATTTGGAACATGCAGTTGCTATGAATGTTCTTGTCTATAGATTGAAGTAGTTGGTTTAAATACATAAATAATAGTGCATACTACAAAATACTATTAAACTATTATGTGCATGGTAATATTTAATAGCATGGAGCCAGTCACCACAAGACCATTGCTAATGGAGAAATATGGAGGAGGTCTATGTCAGAGGACAACCTGATTAGGGCCAGAACCGATGCTGATGTTAGAATTAAGAATTAACACAGTTAGAAGTAAGCATTAGGTTAGACTTAGAATTAATTTAGAAGTAATCAGTGAATAAAGGCTATTTTATTTATTTAATATTTAGTCATAATTGGATGTATTTAAACAAAAAGGTTCCAATACACATCCAGTCACTTTCGAGATATGTCAGTTTGAAGTTTAAAAGTGTTTCTCACTCTTTTTCTGTTTTCAAAACTTATCATGTCATGTAACTCCAGAGATATTTATTTATGTTTATATGTTGTATACTAGTTGCTGATCTAAGAGGTTAGACTTTAGGAACCGTTTGGTATGTACATATAACTCATTTTTTGATAATTTTGTAGATTGGATCCTTTTTGTTAAAACTACATCCAATTAATAATAAATAAACTAATAATGTGCCAGACAACTCTATCAATTGCCTGGTCTCAAACTAGACAACCAATTTAGTAAATTTCATTTCCCAAATTGGTTCTACCAGGGATTGAAGCCGGGACATTCGCACCCACAGTGCAAACCATTGAGCCACCGACGTCATAGCTATTGCACCTACCTACTTATTTGAAAGCAGCCTGTTCTTTAAGCCTAACAAGTAGAAAAAGAAATCAAGAAGTGGTTTCAGTAGGGAATATATGTCTATCTGTTTTTTATTTTTATGAATGACAGCTAACATAATATGTATATGTATAGTAAAAAGTTGAATAAGAGACTTGCACAAAACTTTAATACATTAATTCAAGTAAATGTTAGATAAAGTTTATTTGTTTCAATAACATCTCTTTGTTCAGACAAAAAAACTCATAACATATACATACTAAAACGTTGATGAACCTTTTTGAACCAATAGGTCATATATTTTATGTATTTAAATGTGTATTCTATTCACATTTACATGTATCTAATGTAAAAATAACAATGTATTGTTGAATTACAATACAAGTAACTCAAAATTAGGACTAAGTAATGAGGTGGTAAAACTTCACGGATTGATATTGATCTTTACTATGTATATACAACCTTCGTATGACCTAAGCATCGTGGGATTCGTGGGCGCTCTATTAGTTATTAACAAGGACACCGTCTTTCTTACATCACCTGTACAAGTTTATTTTTCTTCATCCATAAAAGGGTTTAGAATTGGTCAAGTGTGTGGGATGAACGTCCTTACCCAGTGTAGTCCGGTTTGATTTTGGACAATATATCGGGAGAAAGGGCTTAAGTTTTAGTTTCAGTCAGGCAAATACAGTAAATAAGCTTCGAAAATGTATTTTTATGCAAAATCTGACAAAACCACAACATAATTTTTTTTACTTCTGAGTTCTGACCTTATTTTTTAATTTATGGGCTAAGGAATGACTATTCTTTTAATTGACTTACTGACTGATGGGTGCTGGCTAATTCGGATACACACATGATAAAAACATTTATAATAATACCTACTATAGTACTTTTGTTGTTCGTATGTTGTTTAAATAAAACATTTTGACATTTTCACTTTTTTCCTCTTTTACTGACAATTCTTGCAAAATCCTTGATTTTTGTTGCGTGTATGTCCTTAAATGAGTACGTTTGAAGTTTTGCGCATCTGACTGTCAAACGTCAAATACGTTACGAAAGTCATAGTGGACTTGTGCAGTTTTGGTCGTTTTTTATTTTATTTAAATATAATGTTGTTGCGAAATTACTTCGATTGGTAAATTTTAGTGTGCAAAGGCGTACACAGTAATTTACTTGATAATGGCAAGTTACACGTTTGTATGTTGAACATTTAGACTTGGCGCGCTCCAGGTGTCTCGTGTTTACTTTGAATTTTCTTATTCTTTAGTCAGATCCACCGTCGCCACAACCCCGCCGGTCCGCCGGTGACATGAAGAAGACCACCCCACCGGCTACCAGCATCGTTACCCGCAATGGAGCTCGAAAAGCTAAAATTCAAACCCGTGCCATGTCTGCTGGGGCCAAAGTAAGTTTCTAACAGCTTAACTGTACTCAGGGCCGCACAGTGATGGTTAGAAATGCTAAAAGTTATCCATTGAACATTCAATCAAACTTGGTTTCCATACATTGTCATACATTTTTCATTTTTACATAATATATATGTACAGAAATAATTTTAAAATACTGCCTTAGAATGAAATAGGCACAACTAATATTTTTATTAAAATTTTATTACATACATATTGGAAATCGGGAAAAAACTCAAATGATATAATTTTTGTAAAAAAATACACAGTGAGCTTGAAAAGGATTTTCTACCATAAAGTCATGGTACTTGGTACTTAGTGTAACTGGCTGGTGTCCACAACTCGACGTCAAGGCGCCTATTTTGCGTGCCAACTAAGCAATGGAATAAACTAGCGGACCTTAAAAAGCACAATGTATTAATATATATTAATTATAACACAATAGTGGAGTAATTTCCCAAAAAATAATTCAATATTATGGTGATGAAACATCCTGACATTCAATAAAAACTTAATTATCAGTAATATATTTTAACTATTCTTTATATAACAAAAACCTAGAAAATTTTGAAACTAATTTTCTGTTAAATTTTGAAATTTCTGCTTGTGCTTTTCTTACTTCCAAGAGCAGAATATATTGAAACGTTGATAAAATATGTGTAGTTGTGAATTGCAAGTTTGATCATGTGCATCACTAGCATCATATATTTTGATTATGCTATTATACAGTATTATTTTTATAATTTGTGTAATTTTTTAACCAACTTCAAAAA